TTATTTGAAAGGCAGAGTTACAGAGAGAGAGAGAGAGAGCGAAATCTTCCATCCTCTGGTTCCCACCCCAAATGGCCACAACGGCTGGAGCTGAGCTAAGCCAAAGCTAGGAGCCAGGACCCTCTTCCAGTTCTCCCACATGGGTGCAAGGGACCAAGAACCTGGGCCATTCTCTGCCACTTTCCCAGGCCATAGCAGAGCTGGATCAGAAGAGGAGCAGCCAGGACTTGAACTGGCGCCCATATGGGATGCCTGTGTCTAAAGCAGCAGCTTAACCCTCTGCACCACAATGTTGGCCCTATTTTTGTTTTTCTTATTGATAGAGACACATCTGGACATATCCTTTGTCACTTATATGCGTTCCATACTGTGCTTTGTCTTTTGAATAGAGGTCACCAAATTTGTCAATCTTTTCCTTTATAGTCAGTGTATTTGAATTCTAAGAAATATTTCCCCATTCTAAATTCCTGATGTTATGGATTGAATTGCACTTAGCTCCCAAATTCATGGAGGTGTTTAAACCTTGAAGTCTATGTTGCTGGTTGACACATTAAAGGTAGAGACTGATCTGTGATGGCCTCTGGAGGTCAGTACGTCACTGGGGCTGGCCCTGTGCAGATCATTCGTGCTGGTGGGTTACTTCTCTGAGCCAGCCTGGTTTCTTGTGTCTGCTTTGCTACCTGCTCATCTCTTGATTGTTCTTCTGCACCTGCTCCACCACGGCCAGCCTCCACCACATGCCAGACTAATGAGGCGACCTGATCTTGAGCTGGGAATCTCCAAAAATGTAAGCCCAAATAAACCTTCCGCTACACAAGAAGTTCTTCTCCTGTATTTTATTTCAATTAACAAAGAGCTGATAATACACGTGAATATATTCTTCCATATTATGTTACAATGCCTTTTAAGCTGCCTTTTACATTTAGTCTATCATGTAGTGGGTATCATTTTTGCATGTGGCTTAACTTGGGGGTTCAGTTTAAATTTGTTTCTTGTCGATACCTAATTGTCACAGTGTCATTGAAATGTGCTTTTTCTCCTGCTCAAAAGTGCAAACTCTGTCATAAGCCATGTACTATGCACATGCATATATGTTTCTGAACTATGTATTATGTTCCAAGGGTCAGTTTATCTTTGCTTTGTACCATACATCTTAATTATTATGGCTTTGTAATTGTGTCCTGGAATCTGATAAAACAACTCTTTTCTCCTTGTTTATCTTCAAGAGGCTATTCATAGTCTTTTACAGGAATCTATTTATTGGTTCCACACACTCACAAACACCTTGCTTATATTTAAAAAAATGCCTAATATTAGATAGGTGGATTGCTGGCCTGGGTAACTGAGAGGAAAGTTTGGGACAAAAGCCTGGATTTGAGAATGGGTGGGCAGAACGCCTCACGCCGTCGTCCGCTGCTCCCCAGGATGCACCAGCAGAAAGCTGAGTCACAGGTGGAGCAGCTGGCACTCTGGTGTGCAATGCAGGTGTTCCACACAGCAGCTCAACCCACTGTACCACACCCGTGCCCGCCTTGTTCAGCTCTGACAACAGTTATACTGAACCTATAAATCACTCTGTGGAAAAGTGACTCCCTCATGATACAGTCTTCTAATCTAAAGGCATAATATCTTTCTCTTTTTTTAATATTTATTTTATTTATTTGAAAGACAAAGTTACAGAGAGAGATAGAGACACAGAGAGAGGTCTTCCATCCACTGGTTCACTCCTCAGATGGCCGCAACGGCCAGAGCTGCACCGATCCGATGCCCGGAGCCAGGAGCTTCCTCCAGATCTCCCACACGGGTGCAGGGGCCCAAGGATTTGGGCCGTCTTCTGCTTTCCCAGGCCATAGAAGAGAGCTGGATCAGAAGAGGAGCAGCCAGGACTAGAACCGGCGCCCATATGGGATGCTGACACTTCAGGCCAGATCTTTAACCCACTGGGCCACAGTGCTGGCCCCCACATGATATCTTTCCATTTGTTAGGTCTCCTTCTGTGTCTCACAATAAATTATAATTTGCTTCAGATATATCTTACACATGTTCTACCATAAACATATATCAGTATTTGGTATTTTTAATGCTATTAAATACTTTTTTTTTAAACAGGCAGAGTTAGACAGTGAGAAAGAGAAAGAGAGAGACAGAGAGAAAGGTCTTCACCCCCCCCAAGTGGCCGCTACGGCCAGCGCGTTGCAGCCAGCGCACTGCACTGATCTGAAACCAGGAGCCAGGTGCTTCCTCCTGGTCTCCCATGCAGGTGCAGGACCCAAGGACCTGGGCCATCCTCCACTGCACTCCTGGGCCACAGCAGAGAGCTGGACTGGAAGAGGAGCAACCGGGACAGAACCTGGCACCCCAACCGGGACTAGAACTGGAGCTGAGCTGAGCTATTCCAAAGCCAGGAGCTGCTTCTGGGTCTCCCACGGAGGTGCAGGGGTCCAAGGACTTAGACCATCTTCAGTGGAAGGCCATAGCAGAGAGCTGGATCAGAAGTGGAGTAGTCGGATTCAATCCAGCACCCATTTGGGATGCCAGCGCTGCAGGTGGAGGTTTTACCCGCTATGCCACAGCACCAGCCCCCCTCTCTCCCTTTCAAATAAATATCTTTTTAAAAAGAGTTAAATAAATAAACACTGGCACACAATAAAACAAATATTGGTCCTACTCCCATTCTTTCCTCTTAATTTTTTTTTCTTTTTAAATATTTATTTGACAGGTACAGTGAGACAGAGACATCTTCCATCTACCGTTGAAAGGCCGTAACGGCCGGCGCTGCAGCTCACTAGGCTAATCCTCCGCCTTGTGGCGCCGGCACACCGGGTTTTAGTCCCGGTCGGGGTGCCAGATTCTGTCCCGGTTGCCCCTCTTCCAGGCCAGCTCTCTGCTGTAGCCAGGGAGTGCAGTGGAGGATGGCCCAAGTGCTTGGGCCCTGCACCCCATGGGAGACCAGGAGAAGCACCTGGCTCCTGCCATCGGATCAGCGTGGTGTGCTGGCCGATCAGCTGGCCGCAGCGCGCTGGCCGCGGCAGCCACTGGAGGGTGAACCAATGGCAAAGGAAGACCTTTCTCTCTGTCTCTCTCTCTCTCTCCTCTCTCTCACTATCCACTCTGCCTGTAAAAAAAAAAAAAAAAAAAAAAAAAAAAAAAAAAGCCAGGCTGAAGCCAGGAGCCAAGAACTGCATCTGGGTCTCCATGTGGGTGGAAGGAGCTCAAGTACTGGGCTGTCATTAGCTGCTTCCCGGGCACATTAGCAGGGAGCTGGGTGGGAAGTGAGAGAGCAGCGGGCACTCCAGCCAGTGCTCTGATATGGGATAGGAAGTCCCAAGAGTTGCTTAACTTGCTGCACCACAGTGTGTGCCTGCTTAGATTTTTCTTTTTCCTACCCTCTTTTAAAATGATAAGCTTGGGCGCCAGCCAGTGCTGTGGCATAGCAGGTAAAGCCACCACCTCCAGTGCTGGCATCCCACATGGACGCCGGTTCTAGTCCCGGCTGCTCCACTTCTGATCCAGCTCTCGCTATGGCCTGGAAAGCAGTAGAAGATGGCCCAAGTCCTTGGGCCCTTGCACCCGTGTGGGAAACCCGGAAGAAGCTCCTGGCTCCTGGCTTTGGATTGATGCAGCTCCGGACATTGCGGCCAATTGGGGAGTGAACCAGCGGTAGTATTTTGTTATGCCTTTGACTCCTTCTCACTTCCGTTTTCTCTCTTCCACTCACTTCTCCTCCCCTCCCCCTCCTTCCTGCTCTCTCTCCCTTCTGTGTTTATGCTTCTCATTTTTCTACCACAAACCAAGGGATAAGGACCATAAGCTCTTTTTTTTAAAAAGGTTTATTTATGTATTTGAAAGGCAGAGTTACAGAAAGGCAGAGGCAGAGAAAGAGGGGAAAGTCTTCCATCCTCTGGTTCACTCCCCCAGTGACCACAACGGCCTGAGCAGGGCCAATCTGAGCCATCTGAGCCAGGAGCCAGGAGCCTCTTCTGGTCTCCCGCGTGGGTGGTTGCACTTGGGCCATTGCCTACTGCTTTCCCAGGCCATAGCAGAGAGCTGGATCAGAAGTGGAGCAGCTGGTGCTGGAACCTGCGCCCATATGGGATGCTGGCACTGCATGCGGCGGCTTTACCCACCACACCACAGCAGCAGCCCCATAAGCTCTAGTATTTAAACCCTTCAGCCCTAGCGGCCCACCAGTCCTAGGATTTTGTCTTCACGTCTTTTCTGGTTTTGCACTTTCTCATCTTTCCCCTACTTGTGCGTTACTTAACTCGGCTGGTCCTCAGTTTTTCCATCTGCAAAGTGGAGATAACTACTAGATTGTTGTGAGAATCGAATGAATTAGGTAAAGCTCATAGTTCAGTGCTTAATATAACAAGCAGCCTCTAAATTTTTTAAAGTGTCAGAGGTGACGTGGAGAGATGATTTTGAATTCAAAAAGACCTAAATTCCAAGTAAATCTGATTTTTACGAGCCTCAACTTACTTATGTAAAAATAGGAAAGATGACATTCGGCTCTCTTCCACCTAGGGTTTTCTCCCTCTCGCCTCTTGAATTAAGTCAGTGAGCCAGAAACATCACTGAGTACATGACGTCATCACGGTAGGGGAGTCCAGGAGTCAAATGGGGTGCAGAACAGCTGTCCGCACGCACAAGTGATAAAGATGCCTGCTATCTCTCCTGCTCCTCCAACAGGTGAGCGGTTGGCCTCCCCACGTGCTCTCGGCCGCAGAGCTTCTACCATTGCCTACTGTTTCCTCCTCCACCTCCCTGTCTCCTGCCATCACCGTTTTCCTCTCGCCGCGGCCACCCGGCGCCGCCCGGATGCCCAGACCGCCAACCACAGCCAGGGACCAGGGGTCCCCTCGGTGTTCAGTCCCTAGCAGTCGTCCACTCATAAAGTTTTATTGAAACAGAGCAGAAAAAAAGGCTCCCGTCATTCTTTCCCCGGCAACCAATCCAAAGAGCAGGCTCTCGGCGGCCGGCGGGGCGGGGCGGGGCGCGTCTCCTCCGACACCTGCGTCGCCGGAGCGGAAGTACGGCCGGAAGCCGGCCATCGAGTTCAGTGGCCAGAGCGGCCCTGCAGGGAGGTGGCAGGAAAGGCTTGGAACAGCTGCCGGAGGTGACGGAACGACGGCCCCGCCCGGTGCGCTGGAAGACGAAGCTTCCAGGTAGTGGCCCGCAGAGTCTGGCCCAGGGTACGACGGGACAGTCGGCGGGAGCCCATGGTCCCTGGGCGGCCTCTTTAAGGGAGGAGGTGGAGCCACGTGTAAGGATCGTGGGGGTGAGGTCACGTGGTTGGGGGCACGTGTGGGAGCGAGTGGAGAACCGAGGGGTGCGTTGTCGTTGGGGTGCATGACCTGTGACCCCAGCAGTCGCCGCGCTGCATCCTGTGCCTTGGGGTTCACGTGGTGTGCCTTGGGAGTTAGTCCCAGGGGCAGGGGGAGAGGGTGGGCGTGGCAGCCCTGTGAGGCGGCTGCCTTTAGGGTCCACGTTCTCCGCTGCTCCTGCTCCGATTCCTCCCTGCAGAAATGGCTTGTTGCTTCTACGGTCCGGCCCCTTGCCCTCGCCTTTGCCATCCCGCCAGTGCTCAGGGACCTGCAGTTTCACGTCCTCTTTCCTTGCAGCTCCAGACATCCTGAGCCCAGGTTCCCCAGCTCAGTACAGCCATGAGTGCGGAGGTGAAGGTGACAGGGCAGAACCAGGAGCAGTTTTTGCTGCTGGCCAAGTCGGCTAAGGGGGCAGCGCTGGCCACACTCATCCACCAGGTGTTGGAGGCCCCTGGTGTCTACGTATTTGGGGAACTGCTGGATATGCCTAATGTTAGAGAGGTGGGTTGCTGGCCTGGGTAGCCCCTCAGGGAAGCATGGGGCATAAGTCTGGCTTTGAGAATGGACTCATTTCGCAACCCCACGAAACCATTTTGTTGAACAAGAACACAGTGATGATTAACTGGCGCGTTGCAAAAGTAAATAATAAGCAAATAAACGTCTTAGTTTGTCTGTCGTTGTAACAGAAAATGCAGTATTTACATTTGTAAGCAAAAGAGCATGTCATTGCAAATAGGAAGGTTGGGTTCCAGTCTGTCCCCCCCAGTGTAATACCTCCTGACAATCGGGGCGTTTCATTGAGGGCCTCGGTTTCCTCTTTTAAAGATGGAGATGATACTTTTCTCGACGGTCACTGTAGGAATCCAGTAAGATCATGGGAAAGTGTTAGGTCTGATGCAGATGGAATGAACAGGTTAAATTAGCAGACAGTACTCCCTGGGCAGCCTGTGCTAATGCACCTGAGAAAGGAAAGAAAGGAGGTGTCTTTTCCCCCCAGAGACACATGGCAGACTGTTGGAATACAGGAACACAGCAGAGACTTTCACACAGAAGTGGCAAGGTTCAAAGTCCAGGGCGGATGAGTCACCAAGATGTGTGATCCCCACCCATGCCCTGAGACGCTTTGACAGCAATGTGTAGGTAAACTGTTAGCCAGTTTGTGAGGGCTTGTGATTGAGTCAGTGGATTTGGCTTTTTGAGGTCACTGTGATATGGAAAAAATTGGGGCTTTTTTTCCCCTTACTTTCATCTGCAGTGGGTCCAAAAAAGTATCCGTTAAGGGGAACACAGAGAAGCACTGAGTGCCCGTGTGGCCCTCTGCTGGTGTTCAGTACCAAACAGGAGTCTTAGGAACCAGTGGAAGAGATGGGATGATGGATAGTGCTGTATAAATCATTGGTTCAGCAAGCATGTACTGGAGGGCTGACCACACGCAGAGGTCTGTTTTCTCTTAGAGGGATACCAGACTTGGTCTGGAATCCTATTGAAAGAGATTCTAATTTCAGACCCTTCTGCAGGGATTGATGGCTTAAATGCCCAAATGAGTGATCAGATAGAAGAGGAGGTATGGGTGGGCTGGACTGGGTGATGGAAGACCACCTCCCACCGATGCAGGGCTGCGACAGAGACCACAGCTCAGATGCCTGTTGGGTGTGCAGCTGTCAACAAGGGACTCTGGTGAACGGAGGGGTCGGAGACGACTGCAGAGGGATGCTCAGATTCAGGAAGGGCAGACACGCCCACAGCCAGACAGTACAGCTGGCCGCTTCTGGTGGCTGTGTCTTACAGTTGGAACACTGAATGTTTTCAACCTTGAGTTTACTGGAGGGTGTGTATGCATTGGGAAATAGTCCAAGCAAAGGTGGAAATGAGCCCTACCTGTGAGGAGAGTGATCAGAGAGCCCCTCTTGGTGAGCTGGGGGGAGGGGTGACATTTTCCAGGAAAGGTGGGGCTAGAAAGAGTGAGGGTGGCGAGGGAAGCCCTTGCCATCACCACGTCTCTTGCCTCACCTTGCAGCTCGCCGAAAGTGACTTTGCTTCCACGTTCCGGCTGCTCACCGTGTTTGCTTATGGGACATACGCTGACTACTTAGGTAACCAGGGGGGCTGGAGCTGTGCAGTGATGGGAGTGGAAGAAGGGCGGTTTTTGGAGGCACTTTAAGAGAAAATTCCTGGGATACCCCACATAGGTCCCCTGGGTGCACAGTTTCAGGGTCAAGACCTGAATCGGATTGAAAAACTCAGAACAAAACAAAACACAAGGGTGAAGGAAGTGTAGGCTTCCCACAAAACTGCAATCGATTTCCTCCACTTTGTCCTCTTCCCCAGCTGAAGCCCGGAACCTGCCCCCACTCACAGAGGCTCAGAAGAATAAGCTTCGACACCTCTCCGTGGTCACGCTGGCTGCTAAAGTCAAGGTGAGTGGCAGTCTCCCAGGTCTAGGCATCCTTCTCTGTGTCTGGGAGGTGACACTAGGATGTCCCAGGACCAGACTTGCCTCGTCCTGCCCCCCTCAGGGTCTGTCTGGAGTCCATCACCAAGCCATTTAGGCTGAGCCTTCTCTTAGTTTTCTCTTTGTAAGTTTTCAGTCACCTTAAGTTCTAAGTAAATATCTTTTGTATGCTGCTGAAAGTGGCAACGAGGGTGCCATGCATGTGTTGTACAATTACTTCCGTTCCCACGGCCTCAGCTGGAATAGGCTCTCTTCTGACAAGGTGCCAGGCTTCTGTTTGGTGGAGTAAGACATGCATATAACGCAGAAGGATCTCTGTATTCCTGCTGGCCTCAGTTTCCTGCCACACCCCCCAAGCTGAGGTTTCCCAGTTGTTATTTGACTGTCTTGTTACTGTCCTGACTTGATTTAAACCGAGCTCTGCATTGTGCAATGCCTGTGCAGAGGTCAGACTTCTCCCCTGCCGCATATTCCCACCGTGCCAGGGTGATCTTGATGCAGGGCTGCCTGAGCTCCTGAGCTGTGGCCAGAGGAATGACCCCAGGCAGGTGTCGCTTGCTTGCTCGCTCTGGTCTGGAGAAATAGGGTGGTAAGGGAGCTTAAGTCTTGTGTTTTATTTAAGATTGGCCTTCTCATGCTGTTTTCTTGAGGTGGGAATACATTTACTTATTCTGCCCTAGAGGAAGTGGTATAGGAACAGAGCGGAGGGCAGATGAGCCAGGGCGGAGGGAAGATGATTTCTGGAAACCCCTTCCTGCTGCGGCTCCTCACAAATCCTGGCCTCCCGGGCCCAGTGCATCCCATACGCAGTGTTGCTGGAGGCGCTGGCCCTGCGGAACGTGCGGCAGCTGGAGGACCTGGTGATCGAGGCCGTGTACGCGGATGTGCTCCGCGGCTCCCTGGACCAGCGCAATCAGCGGCTGGAGGTGGACTACAGCATCGGGCGAGACATCCAGCGCCAGGACCTCAGCGCCATCGCCCGAACCCTGCAGGAGTGGTGAGAGCCGAGGGCGGCACTGTCCCTCCCCTCCTCACCCCAAGAAAGGGAGAGGTACTTCAGGGCAGGAGAGAGCAGGGGCTGGGCTGGGCTGCGACCCAGGAGGCTGAAGCAAAGTGAGCCATCCCTCCAAAGGCGTCTGAGGCAGGGATGGAGGCGGCCCAGGGAGGCAGGAGGCAGTGTCCTTGGTAAAGTGCATGGGGAGGGAGCGGGGATGCTACCCACGTCGGTCTTCTGTCTAGGCTGGATTCAACTCATTGGTTTGTGACCGCCGTTGGCCACAGGCCTCTGCTTTGCTCCTGTCTAACCTCACTGTCCGTCCTCATTCATCCCCCACCCCTTTGGTTTTCCGCTTCTCCTCCGACTTGCCCAGCACTTGCGGCACTTCCCTGCCACTCTCCTGTCCCACCTGAGGGTCTGTCTCACTGGGGGGACTGCTGTAGGTGGTTGCCAAGGCCCAGCTCGGACAGGGGTTAGATGCTGGGAGCTACGGGTCTTTTGGAGTCTGTCTGTCATGAGTGTGCTCGCAGCCCTCTGTGCTGACGCGTCTCCTCGTCCCACCCTGCAGGTGTGTGGGCTGTGAGGTTGTGCTGTCAGGCATTGAGGAGCAAGTGAGCCGGGCCAACCAGCACAAGGAGCAGCAGCTGGGCCTGAAGCAGCAGATTGAGAGTGAGGTGAGCAGGGCTCACCCACACTGCCCCAGCCTGGGCCACTTGTCTTGTGCAGAGGCGTTTGGACCATGGCTGTAGCAGACAGGTCAGATGGGCAGAGTCTATCATGTTCCGGAAACTTCTTTGCTCCCCCCTATGGCTTTCATCCTGGTAGGTTGCCAACCTTAAGAAAACCATTAAAGTTACCACTGCGGCAGCGGCTGCAGCCACATCTCAGGACCCTGAGCAACACCTGACTGAGCTGAGAGAACCTGCCGCAGGCACCAACCAGCGCCAGCCCAGCAAGAAGGCCTCAAAGGGCAAAGGGTGAGCCGGGCAGCGGAGCTCTTGCCCTGGGGCACTCCACTCAGCTCGGGGCCCCAGCTGCTCTTACATCCTCTCCTTTCATCCTTTGCATGGGGATAGGGAGTTGGGGGAGGCTTTGGGGGTAGGGAGTCCCTGCACCCATTCTCTTTCTCTTCCCCTTGCCAGGCTCCGAGGGAGTGCCAAGATTTGGTCCAAGTCGAACTGAAGGGACTGTCATTTCTTCCTTGGGACTGTGGGTCCCAGCTGCCTGCCTGCCCTTAGGAGTTCTCAGAGAGCTTTCCTGTGCCCCTGGCCAGCTGATAATCCTCAGTTCATGACCTTTCACCCCCACCCCCCACCCCCAAGCATAGATCACACCTTCTCTGGGGAGGAGGCAAGTACAGGTCACATTTTTATTGGTACTTTTGTTTTATGTGACTTTCTAATGTGTTGCATTGCCCCCTTCCCCATCGTGCTCTGTTTCTTTAAGAGCTCGACATCTATCCTGTTCCTTACATCTGTCGCCAGGTAAGGGGCTAGCTCTGACGGGGCTTGCTCTGTCTCCAGCATAACCCACAGGTGTTCCTTCTCCTGCCATGTTGCTGCATGCCTGTCCCCCCCATCACTCCCTACCCCCACCTATGGGTGGCATCTCAAGGGCCATGGGCCCTTACCTTTATGCCCACCCTGAGAGTTTGGGAGCCGGCTTACCATTCTGAATGACTGGACACTTTCATCCTAGAATTCTCTCACACTACGGTTGTCTCCTCTCCTCCTTCTTCCCCTTGGATCCTGGGAGTGCTGCAGCTTCAGTAACCCCAGAGCCCAAGGAGGGCAGCTGTTATTAGGATGCTGAGAGATGGTTCTGTGGGCCCTGACCATCTTGGGAAGCCTGGTGGCAGTCTTGCAAGGCTTTATGTCCCCTGTTGTGACTTTGGTGGGGAAGGGAGGGCATATAGATTGTATTTAAAAAGGTGTATATGCATATATCTATATATAACATGACACAGAAATAAATCTATGAGAAGTCTATCTACACACATGTCCTGCACTGGGTATCTTCTGTGTTTGATATTTGTGGATGGGAAGAAGACTCATTCCCAGTCTACTCTAAAAAAGGGCTGGAAAATGATGAGAACCAGATTCTAAATCCCGAGTCCTGGTGCCCTGTGACTTTGGACAGACTGCTTCATACCTGAGCACTCCTTCCTGAGCACCCACGTGTGCCGGTCACGCTCCCTGCCTCCTGCATCATCAGAGAATCCTCAGGGGAAGAGTTGATGACGAACTTGGATTTCACATCACAGTCACAGCCATCGTATCTGGCAGGAGCACGCAGTTGGGCTCCTGCCCTTCTTCCAAGTTAGGACTTCGCAGGAAGTCTGCTAGCCTGGCCCAGAGTGCTGCCGTGAACGCCTCGGAACCGGGAGGCTGTGGCGGAGGCGGCAGGGAGCCCTCTCTGCAGAGCTGGTGCTGGTTGTCTAGGTGGAGGCTGAAGAGAGACCACTCCACACCGGCCCTGCAGCTGTCAGTCATGGAGCCAGCAAGTAGGAGTGGGGTCTTGAGGTTTTGATTAAAAGTAGACTGGGTGAGCTTAGTGGGTTTTTTGTTGTGTTTTATGTTTATTGTCACCTACTTGACAAGCAGAGCTAGAGAGGGAGCTTGATCTCCATTTGTTAGTCTGCTCCCCAGATGCCCTCAATAGCCATGACAGCGCCACGACAAAGCCAGGAGCCCAGAACTCCATCCAGGTCTCCCACAGGGGTGCTAGGGACCCACGTACTGGGCCATCATCGGCTGCCTCTCAGGCGCATCAGCAGGAGGCCGTTTTGGAAGCACAGAGTAGCCAGGACTGGATTCAAGCACTCTGATTATGGGATGTGAGCATCCCGTGCAGCCGTTCAACACAACTCCCACCCCAGGCTTCCTGTCCTGTGAGGGGAATGAAGACCTAACGGGACCCGTGCAGTGAGCCTCATTTCAGCACACTTGGCTTCTCAACTTTGCCCTAGACAAGCTGTTTTGAATCGGGTTTGAACCTGTTTTGCATTGGTTCTCAGCGTCTGCCTCTGAAATCAACCCCGTCTTCCTCTCCCACTCAAGTGTAGGAATTGTGAGTTCCTGGTACTTTCAACCTGCGCCTATCGTCCCCTTTTCCTGTGAGCTGCCCCCAGCTGAAGGCCCCGTAACTCTCTAGACCCCTGGTTCCAGACTCCAGTGCGTGGCTCTGAAGGCCTCACTAGAGGCTGGCCTCTGACTGTTTGGCTTTATACCCAGAGAGGGAGAGGAATCGTTCTCATTGCCAGGGCCATGCAAATGCAATTTGATTTACAAAGAACAAGCTCTTGGCTATCAAGAATGGAGGAGAGTCAGCAGGTTATTTGGAAAGTAGTGAAGGCACAGTTTTTGACCAGGAAATTTGGTTCAAGATTTAGGGATTCGAGAGCTGGCATTGTAGCATGGCACTTTAAGCCTCTGCTGGCAAAACCAGCATCCCATATCTGCGCTCCGTTTGAAGTCCCAGCTACTGTTTTCCATCCAGCTCTCTGCTAATGTGCCTGTGAGAACAGTGGGAGACAGCCCAAGTTTTTGGGCCCCTGCCACCCAAGTGGGAAAACCAGATGGAATTCCAGGCTTCTGGCTTTGGGGAATGAACCAGTGGATGGAAGATCCCTTTGTTCCTACTCTCTGTCATTCTGCTTTTCAAATAAATAAATTTTTAAGTTGCCTACCCAAGTGGGTGTTGTGGTGCAGTGGGTTAAGTCTCCGCTCAGAACAAACACAAATCATAAAGAGTGCCTGGGCCGGTGTCCTGCCCCTGCTCCTGATCCACCTTCTGTTAAAGTTCACCTTGAGAGGCTTCTGTTAAAGTTCACCTTGAGAGGTAGCAGGTCCTGGCCACCCACTTAGGAAACCTGAGAGATGTTCCTGGCCACTGGAACCAGTTCTAGCCCATTATTTGGGGAGTAAACGAGCAGATGAAAGCTCATTTCTCTTTGTCTATCACAGACAGTGTTTCTATCACAGACAGTGTTTCTCTGGGCCACTAGCATCAAAATCATTGGGGTTAGTTGTCTGGTGCAGTGGTCGGGACCCCCACATGTCCTGTCAGAGTGCCTGGGTTCAAGTCCTGGCTCCACTTCCACTGCTGATGGGCACCTTGGGAAGCAGCAAGTGATGGCCCAAGTGCTCAAGTCCCCACCACCCTCACGGGAGACCTGGATTGACTTCTGGGCTCCTGGCTTTGCCTGGCCCAGCCCTTGATTGTTGCAGGCATTTGGGGAGTGAACCAACACAAAGAAGATCTCATCTCTGTCTTTCATATAGAAATAAAAATTCAAAATTATTAGAGTTTTGGAAAATGTGTCAATTTTGTCATTTGACCCTGCCCGCACCCTAGTTCCCAGCAGATTAGATTGTCCAGGATGTGAACTGGAAATGCACTGTCATGGATCTCAGTCACTTAGCTCTGAGCTGTGACACCCCTTGTACGTAAGCACCCTGGCCCGGATTGGTGCCTACTTGGGTCAGCTGACAAGGCTTCTGCAGGGCCTGGAGGCTGGGGAAGGGGCCCCGGTCACCATATGGAAGAGGAGAGTGAGCAAAGGCAAAATGGTACAGGGCAAGAAAGGACTTGTCCTGTCCTCTGAGGTCCTGCGTGCTGAGTGCTCGGAAGTACTGGGGGACACGAAAGCATTCCGTTGGGGGTGTCTACGTCTTGCTTGAGGTTGGAAAAACCTCTGAAGACATGATCTTGAAACAGCCTAGAAGCCCAAGTAGGAGTTTGCTTGGGGATAAGGGTGAGCTGAAGGCCTGGAGGAGCAGACTGCACCCCGCGTCTGCCTGCCTCTCCCCTAACAGGACGGGCATAATTTGGGGGATGGGACCAGCTGTCAAGTCCTGTACATATGGGTCACTTGTCATCCAACCAAATGGTATATGTATCTTGACTGAAAGTCTGAAATGTAAACCATAATGATTGCGTTACACTATTTAGGCATTCATTTTTATTTTTATTTTTTTGACAGGCAGAGTGGATAGTGAGAGAGAGAGAGACAGAGAGAAAGGTCTTCCTTTTCCATTGGTTCACCCCCAAACAGCCGCTGCGGCTGGCGCGCTGCGGCCAGCGCACCACGCTGATCTGAAGCCAGGAGCCAGGTGCCTCTCCTGGTCTCCCAAGGACTTGGGCCATCCTCTACTGCACTCCCAGGCCATAGCAGAGAGCTGGCCTGGAAGAGGAGTGACTGGGACAGAACCTGGTGCCCCAGCTGGGACTAGAACTTGGGGTGCCGGCGCTGCAGGCAGAGGATTAGCCTATTGAGCCGCGGTACCAGCCTAGGTATTCAGTTTTGAGTGACATTTGTCTGTTGTTTCTGCAATTGTTAATAAAAGCTAATATTTATTGGGTGGTTAACTGTGGTCAGGCCATATTCTAAGTGCTTTAGATGTATAAATTTATTTAATGCTTCTGAGATTGGTACCACTATTATCCTCTTCTAAAAATGACAAGGTAGGGGCAGGCGCTATGGTGTAGTAAGTTAAAGCACCAGCCTACAGCACTGGCATCCCATATGGGGACCAGTCCGAATCTCAGCTGCTCCACTTTCAATTCGGCTCCCTGCTAGTGCACCTGGGAAAGCAGCAGAGCATGGCCCAAGTATTTGGGCCCTTGCACCCACATGGGAGACACAGAAAAAACTCCTGGCTTTGGCCTGGCCTAGTTCTGACCATTGCTGCCATTCGGGGAGTGAACCAGCTGATGGAGGACTTCCCTCTCCCTCTCTCTGTAGCTCTGCCTTTAAAATAAATATAATCAATCTTTAAAAAAGGTTGGGGGGGGGGGGGCGGCACTGTGGCACAGCAGTTTAAAGCAGCCTGAAACGCCGGCATCCCATATGGGCACTGGTTCAAGTCCCGGCTGCTCCTTTTCTGATCCAGTTCTCTGCTATGGCCTGGGATAGCAGTAGAAGATGGCCCAAGCCCAATTCCCACGTGGGAGACCTAGAAGAAGCTCCTGGCTCCTGGCTTTGGATTGGTGCAGCTCTGGCCATTGAAGCCATCCGGGGAGTGAACCAACGGAAGAAAGACCTCTCTCTCTGTCTCTACCTCTCTCTGTAACTCTGTCTTAAAAAAAAAAAAAAAAAAAAAGCTGGCACCGCGGCTCACTAAGCTAATCCTCTGCCTTGTGGCGCCGGCACACTAGGTTCTAGTCCCGGTCGGGGCACCGGATTCTGTCCCGGTTGCCCCTCTTCCAGGCCAGCTCTCTGCTGTGGCCAGGGAGTGCAGTGGAGGATGGCCCAAGTGCTTGGGCCCTGCACCCCATGGGAGACCAGGAGAAGCACCTGGCTCCTGCCATCAGATCAGCGCGGTGCGCCGGCCGCAGCGCGCTGGCCGCGGCGGCCATTGGAGGGTGAACCAACGGCAAAGGAAGACCTTTCTCTCTCTCTCTCTCTCTCTCTCTGTTCACTCTGACTGTCAAAAAAAAAAAAAAAAAAAAAAGAAATAATGACTCTTCTTGCCTGGAAGCAGAGAGCAAGGGTCAGTGTGGTCTCAGCTGAAGTTAGCTACCACAGATTAAAGCTGTTAAAATTACCCCCACCCAAAAAAAAGATCCCTACATTCTATGCTGGAGTACATAAAATTCTGAACCCAGTGAAAATAGCAATAAGGAATCAATGTGAAATAGAAATATTCTCAGGTGGGGGAAAAGTAAAAGAAATTGTCACCAGCAAACCTGCTGTAAAACGCTAAAGGAGGGGCAGTTTTTTGACATAGCAGTTAAGACGCCAATGGGACGCCTGTATCCCCATCAGAGTGCCCAGGTTCAAATACAGCTTCTGCCGATGTACACCCTGGGAGGCAGCAAATCCTGGCAAGCAGCTGTGTATTTCCTCCGCATGTCAGAGACCTGGACTGAGTCTCCAGTGTCTGGCATCAGGCTGGCTCAGCCCATCACTGCAGACATTTAGGGAGTGAACCAGTGACTGGGAGAGATCTGTTTGCCTGTCTCTCTTTCAAAATGAATAAATCACAATTTT